CCTGCCGTGGGGGGTGGGGGGGGGGTGTGAAGCTATAACTTCCTAGTGAAGCAGGCTTATTATCCGATTCAGGTTCCTAGATTATTATGCTTAATAATGTCTGGCTTCCTTTTATTATTAATTTCTGGCTACTTTAACACTACTATACATGTAAAGTACTTTCAGAATTGCTAACCCCTATTTTCCAATGAGACTACAATATTTATGTACAGTTCTTTTTGTTTTCAGTCTCATTGTATCCAGTAAAAATGTTTTACAAAGTTATTTAGGATAGTTCCTCCCCCTCCCTTTTTCATTCAAGTTACATTATACATTTATTTGTAAAAATAGAGTGACTTGTCACAGTCTGCATTCAATGCTCCCCCTGTTTGATTTTCTTTTTGTTGGAATAGAGTTAGTTTCTCTCTTGGTGGTGTATAGCTTTGTGGGTTTTGATGAATGCATCACCAAAATATCAAGCAACATAGTTCTATTGTCATAAATATTGCCTGGAGTGACCTGTTGTTACTCAATGTCTACTTACTCGCCAAGCCCCTGGCATCAGTGATCTATTCTCTTTTATATAATTTAACTGTTACAGAATGTCAGATAGATAGAATGATATAATATGCACTTCTAGGTTTGACTTTCTTTCAGTTAGCAAGTCATTTAAGATTTATTCATATAGTAGTGTGAGGCATTAGTTCATTCCTTCTTATTACTGAACTAGAGGCCTGATGCACGAAATTCATACAAGAGGAGGCCTTCCTTCCCCTGGCTGCCGGCACTAGCTTCCCTCTGGCATCCAGGACCCAGGCTTCCCTCGCAGCCCCGGCTTCATCCAGAAGGTTGTCCTGTCTAATTAGCATATTATGCTTTTGTTATTATAGATAGTATTCCATTTATAGGTGCTCCACAATTTTGTCACCTGTTGTCACCTGATTTGGTGGTTATGGATAAAGATACTATAAACATTGGTGTTCAAGCTTTTGTGTGAACCTAAGTTTTTAGTTCGCTTGGGTTAATATATTGGAGTGGGTAAGTGTATGTTTACATTTATTAGATATTGTAATACTGTTTTCCAAAGTGTATTATTTTGCCTTCCCACCAGCAATGAATGAGAAATCTTATTTCTCAATGTCCAGTGTTTTTTTAATTTTTTCCATTCTAATAGGAGTGGAAAGACCTTGTGGTGTTTTATTTGCATTTCCCTATTTTGCTGATGAAAGTGGGGTTCTTTCACCAGGTCCCAAGGAAGACATTCCAGGGACCCATGTACGGGAGCTTGTGGCATAGTACGATTTATTTTGGGAGGAAATAGAAGGCTGTCACCAGGTTCCTAGTGTCTCATCTCCATCTGTCCCCCGGTGGGAAAAGTCCAGCCTTGTCTTCAAGCCCAGAACAAAGGCCAGTGTTCAGAGAGTCTGTGCCATATTAAGCTGCGTGGCCTGACATGGGCCCCAGGTGGCTGCTAGGCCCACATAGCTGCTATGAAACAGTGATTTTCAACTGGTGTGCTGCAAGAATGTTTAAAACATGCAGTAATACCCGACTCTTTAGTTTAGTTACATTTAAATAAATATAAATATCAATAATTGTTTTAGGTCAGGTTTTCCATTGTTTTAAATGTAAGTAAAACCAAGAAAGGTGAGAAGGCCACAACCTTGGAAGGATTGCCCCCCCCACCCCAAAGTGTGACAAGAGGAGGGCAAAAGGACAGAGGTTCAAGCCCAGGGGTTATTGGAGGGGAGCGTGCCTCATCTGCAGTTGCTGCTGGGAGTGGAATTCTTGTGATATCCGGAGAAAAGGAATTTTCTGAGATTCTCATGGGAGGATGCAATATGCTTAAAAGTTTATTTTCATGGAATTATACCCCTGGCCTTCCAAAGTCCCATTTCCTTTAGTCCAGTCATAGAAGAAGTGTAGATGGGGTTCAGCGGGACTAAAATTAGAGCCAGTGTCCAGAGTTTCCTTTCCATGTTGGAGCCAGGACCAGTCGGCCTCAGGCTAGTTACAGTTCATTATGCATTGCATGGAGGGGTCCCTATGCCATGGGCTATAAGGGTAAATACCAGGAAGCCAAGAGCAAGCCAGGAGCACATGAACAATGAGTCCCACGAGCACAAGAGAGCAAACGTTTTTGTTTAGGGGATGATGTATCCCCAAATTTCCATGTGCTTGCAGTGGCCACGCCCATTCCAGCCAGTGACCTCTGTTTCCAGGTGTGACTGACAGCGTCTTCCCTAGTCTCTCCAGCTTTACTGGGCATGCATCCATCTCCTCTTTGTTGGATTCCTGGGGAGTGTGAAACTGCAGCTTCCTGACTAAGTTGCCCAAATAACATGCATTGAGATAAAGCCAATTTATTAAAAAATTAAAGCATGCAAGTTTATTAAAGAAGCAAGGCAAGCAAATCATAATACGCTGTTGGGCTCTCTGCTAATACATTTTTATTGATTTCAGAGAGGAAGGGAGAGAGAGAGAGGGAAACATCAATGATGAGAATCATTGATTGGCTGCCTCCTGCACACCCCCTATTGGGGATCAAGACCCCAACCCAGGCATGTGCCCTGACAGAGAATTGAACCATAACCTCCTGGTTCATAGGTCTACACTCAACCACTGAGCCACACTGGCTGGGCCAGGCTTTATTCTTTTTTTGTTGTTAATCCTCATCCAAGGATATTTTTCCATTGATTTTTAGAGTGACAGGGAGAGGGAGAAACAGAGAGAAACATCGATGTGAAAGAGATTGGTTGCCTCCCGCACCAGTCCCAACCGGGGGTGAGGGGTGGAGGTGAGAGGGACCAGGCATGGAGCCTGCAGCCAAGGTGCCTGATCTTGACAGGAATTGAACCCTTGACCCTTCAGTCCTTGGGCTAATGCTCTATTCACTGAGCCAAACCAACTAGGGCGAGCCAGGCTTTATTCTTAATAGATTTTCTAGTTATTGGAATGTCCTTGGAAAGTACGAATTAAATTTTATTTGTTGTTTATTCTCACTTGAGGCTATTTTCTATTGACTTTTAGAGAGGAAGAGAGGGGAAAAGACAGAGAAACATCAAGATGAAAGAGACATATCGATGGGTTGCCTCCACGGGAGGTCCAACCAGACCTGCATATCAAGCATGCCCCACACTGGGGATCGAGCCCGCAACCCTGGCATGTGCCCTTGACCAGAATTGAACCCAGGACCCTTCAATCCATGGGCCAATGCTCTATCCACTGAGCCAAACTGGCTAGGGCAGTACTAATTAATTTTTATTTGTTGATTGAGAAGCCTGAGGAAGTTAGAAATGTATTTGCTCTCACAGCAGGTTGAAATAAAGAGCAATTCTAAAGGCATTAAGGTTCCTCTTAAAACTCTATCAAGATGGAATGCTCATCAGAGCTGAGTACAATATGGGTAACAGTATTTTACCATGGAATATCAGAAGGTTTATATACTTTATTTTTAAGATACAAGCAATCACTAAATATCATCACACTAGGTGATCATTAGTGTTTAACAGACAAATCAGAATGAAGCATGCTTAAAAAGTTGAACCTCATTGAAAGTCATAACTAAAAAGGGGAAGTAAGGTGGCAGGATTTAGATTGGAGCAGCATTTGAAATTATATGAAGTATGGGCAATAAATTAGTTTTATTAGTAATATAGTACTAGTAAAGTAAATTACTAGTAATGTAGCTGGTGCAGTTGGGTATTGTGACTTTTTTTGTGTTATTAGGTTACCTTAGTTAAGTATGACATAAAGATGGTATTTTATCATGAGATAGTGAAAAACTATAAAGTGATATAGGGAAAACTTGCCATTGACTTGGAAAATTAATAATGTGGATAGGGATCCATTAACAATTCAACTTTATTTAGACACTGTTTATTTTGTATATTCACTGCTACATTCCATCAGGAAATTTCTTGATGTCATGAAAAATCATTAAGTAAAATACATTTATTTGAAAAAAATTCTAATGTTTAGTCTTTTTGCATGTAAATATACTATGCAAAATAAGCATATAGCACAAAACTACCCCACCACAAATTGCTGTATGCACCATTTCTGAAACACATACCAAATATAAAAGTGCCTTTACATTGGTTGTAGTGCTTTTAGCTCTAAGGAGCAGAACAAGGTAACATTGTAAAGTGCCACTTAGGAACTATCTTCGGCTCTATGGGCCATTGGGTCTCTGCTGGGACTACTCAGCTCTGCTCTTGGAACAGGAAAGTAAAGCAGAAATGAATGGATTTTGTATAAAAACTTCATTAGAGAGATGCTGAAATTTGAATATCTCATAAATTTCTCATCACAAAACATTATTTTTTTCAGCTATTTAGAAATGTAAAGCCATCCTTAATTTGCCAGCTGCAAAAATGGGCGTGGGCCAGCTCTAGGTCACTTCTGGGAAAAGGTACAAACCAACCAAATGGCACTACAGCAATAAAGGCTGGGATGAATGTTGGCAGCCAATCTTTTTCTGCAGCATAATTCAAAAGAGACACATTATAATGATGATAATATCTAACATATAGCTATTTTTCCATCTCAGAAACTATTCTAAGTGCATTAAAATAACTCATTTATTCCCAAAGCAATCCTAACATATTATTTCTCCTACAAAAAGTATACTGAGGCATCGAGAGGTTGTGTGGCCTGCCCCATGCTGGAGTTGGAGCCTATGCCATGTCGCTTCTACCAGAAATAAACAGGCAGCACAGAACACTTAGGACCCCCTACAAAATACAAAACAGATAACTCTGCACCCTGCTAAAACATCAACAGTAAGATAGACAACATTTGCTTACATAGGATTATTTGTTTACTGTGTAGAGGATTATTAGCTGTTTGAAAAAATAAACTCGGGCTTTTCCTATAAATGTGTTCCTAATGTAAAATGTAGCTGACAGTTGAAAATTTTACAAAAACATTTTTAACTTCTTTCTGAAGGATTAGTTAGTAACAACATACATATTCATTTAAAAATGACAGAAAACAGAAAAAGATACATTATAATTAAAAAATATACTTAAATGCACATTGACAGGAGTCACTGCTAAAACATAATGCAAAATATCTTCATGTACATAAAAACTACTGAACTAAAGTGACATATTTCCCTATGTACAAGTATGGGTTCCACACGCACATCAAACACCACAGGCTGTGTTTTGTAGTGTACTCACATACATACATAAGCCCTACATACTACAGGACTCTCCATGTGTTTAATGAGGTTGCCTGATTATTCAATTTATTTGTACTTTTAAAACCTTAATATATCTAGATAGTTTTAGTTTTCTTTAAAAAAACAACAAAAACACACACCTTACAGTCAAATCTCTGTAACATGACTTCTGGTATCACTATTTCCCTCAGAATAGATTCTCTTTGAATTTTCTTTTAAAAGCTTTCATATATTTAAAGGTTCTATCCCAGTATCAATAGTCTGACATTTGCTGAAACATTACTTCTGATGGAAGTTTCTGTATCTGTTCCCATCTTTGCAGTCAGCCCCTCTGTGTTCTGAGTCTAACTGGGGTAAAAAGACTTCTGAATGATCAGGATACTGACAGAGTCTCTCACATGAGCTTTTGGATGTCTGGTGATGGCTGCCCTGCCAGAAAATTTCCTGACATTCATTTTACTTACAGGACTTCTCTCCTGTGTGATTCTTATGTTGTACAATAAAGTCTGACTTCTCAAAGGTTTTCTCATGTCTCATGATTTGCAGTGTTTCTGCTATCTATGTTGTCTTATATTTAGTTAAGTCTGACATATGGTAAAAATTTCACTCATAGAATTTCTCTCTGTATTTCCTCTCTGTGAAGGATTGTCGCTAAAGTTCCCCATATTGATGGTATTCCTAAGATTTTGTCTTGTGTAAATTATCTCATTATTCTGAATGGTGCATTCAGACAGAAGTTCCCAATTCATACTATTTATTTGCTCTTTCTTGCTCTGTGTGTCTTTTGATGTGCAGTGAGTTCTGACTTCTGGATAAAAGATTTCTTACAATCTTGACATTCATAAGGTTTCTCCCCTGTATGTTTTCTTTGGTGTATGATAAAATGTGACTTCTGAGAGAATAATTTCCCACATTCCTTACATTCATAAGGTTTCTCTCCAGTGTGAGTTCTTTGATGTAACCGCAGGACTGAATTCACAGAGAAAGATTTACCACATTCATGACATTTGTAGGGCTTCTCCCCTGTGTGTTTTCTCTGATGTTTAGTAAGGTCAGATTTATAGTAAAAGTGTTTTCCACATTTATTACACTCAAAGGGTTTCTCTCCTGTGTGAGTTCGCTGATGTACTGTGAGGGCTGACTTCTGGTAGAAGCATTTCCCACATTCAGTACATTTATAGGGTTTCTCCCCAGTGTGAGTTCTCTGATGAGTTTTGAGGTGTGAGTTTCTAGAGAAGAATTTCCCACATTCCTTACATTTATAAGGCTTTTCCCCCGTGTGTGTTCTTTGATGTACTGTAAGGTGCGATTTCTGGGAAAAGTATTTCCCGCATTCCTTACACTGATATGGTTTCTCCCCCGTGTGTGTTTTCTGATGCACCATTAGGTATGCCTTAACATAGAAGAATTTCCCACATTCAGTACATTCGTAGGGTTTCTCTCCTGTGTGTGTTTTCTTATGTTCTGTGAGGTGTGGCTTCTGGTAGAAGGATTTCCCACACTGATCACATTCATAGGGTTTCTCCCCTGCATGAGTTCTCAAATGTCTACTGAGAGATGACAGGTGGTAGAAAGTTTTCTTACATTCTTGACATTCATAAGCTTTCTCTCTAGTGTGAGTCTTCTGATGTCTTGTGAGGTCTCCATTGCCGGGTACAGATTTCCCACCTTCACTGGGTTTGTCCTTCGAATGAGTATTCTGATGTACTGTAAGGATAGACTTCTGGTAGAAGGACTTCCCACATTCATTGCATGTATAGGTTTTCTCTTTGGTATGAGTCTTCTGATTTGTGGGTTCTCCAGTCCTAGAGGAAAAAATGTCAAATTCATTAATGTATAAGGCTTTTTTATTTGACTGCTGTGTGTATTGTACAGCTGTGTGGTAGGCAGTTAGATAGCCGTGAACAGAGCAAGGACATGGGCCAGGGACAGAAGGTCACCAGGGCAGAAAGCCTCAGGTTCCCAGCAATGGGAAAAACTGGAAAAGAAGTACCTCACCCACAGTGTAACCTTCCCTACCCTAGCATATCACTTCCTGCTCATGTGATTTAAACCTCTTGACCTTTCATTTTGGTTGTACGGTCCAGACGTTCTCAGACCTTTCATATCACTTGTCATGTGATTTGGACCCTCCCCTGACCTTTCCTCTTTAGCATGTTGCTAGTCTTGGGATAGACCCCCTTAGAGGAGGAACAAGGGGCCAAAAAGTGGCCTCATGCAACTCCCATGTGGGCCCTTGCATGATCACTCCCTTAGACATCAATCCCTAGGGATAACATCTAGGCCTCGGTTGTGTTTTAGCCTGAGACCCACAAAAGAAACAAAACCAGACAAATGATGCCATGGCTGACCTCAGGACCTGCAGTGACTAATGAGCCTCTGCCTTGGTGCCATCCAATCAGTAGAGACCATGAGCCTCAAAGCACACACCTGGGAAGCTGATGAATATTCTATTGAGACCCTCCCCTGAGACCTCCAGATAAATAACCTCAAGATTTAGGTTGGATCCCCCTCTTGGGAGCACATCTGAGCCTTTCCCCTCGTCCTCTTCTTCCCACCAGGTGCATTACTTTTACCTTTCTCTCTCCTACGTTCCAAGGGCCCTTGTTTTGCTCCTGTAACGTGTTTAACTTGTTTCCTGAGCCCATTTATTCCTCAGCTCACTTCTACCTCTGTGACTTTCTAGATACACTTTCTCTTACAGTGTGAGTCTTGGATCTGAATTCTTTCTTAGCCAGAACTCAAGTGCCAAGGTTGCTGAACCAAGGTCTGGTCTGACTTCACCAGTCTAACACCTGGTGCCATTCTCGCCACCAACATAAGAACCAATTTCTATGAATTTCCCATATTAATTAGATTCGTAGGGTTTCTCCACCATGAATGCCCTCTGACATACACTGTGCTTTCCTGTTTGGTAGGAGAACCTTCACTTGCACTATATTCATTCATAAGCTCTCTCTACTTAACTCTACCTTGTATCATAAAGCCTCCCTGATTGTGTAACTCTGAATAATCAGAAGATTGCTTCAATAACTGAGCCCCCTGAACTTGAATAAGGCCTCCATTATGAAAAAGGGCTTTCCCGTTTGCATTTTGTTCTTTGCAATTTGCTCCAATGTTAGTTTTCTCACATGTAGTATTAACTAGTACTCTCCCACTTCCAGTACCCTCGTCAAGACCCTTTCTTACAAAACTTCTAATTTTAAAACTGAATTCTTGAACTTGCCTGGACGTTTCCGCTTGGCTTTCCTGGTGTCTTTCTTGTGATTCATGAATCTTCCATAGATCTACAAAAAAAATCCAATATTTTATACTCTATACATCTTAAACAATAGTATGGTCATAGGGTTGGGTTGATTCTTAGACTTCAGGTCAATCTCTGCAAATGAAGGAACTCTCAAATGCAAACTTCCTCTATTTCATTGGTTTATAAAAAATAATAAACACCAAAAACTGCTATAGCAGAAAGGGGAGGAATGTGCTTATAAACCCAAGTACCACTGACACTTTACAAATAATGACCTTAAAAACTTGGAGGATGCCCTAGCCCATTGGTCGGCAAACTGTGGCTTGCAAGCCACATGCAGCTTTTTGGCCCCTTGATTGTGGCTCTTCCACAAAATACCACGTGCGGGCGCGCATGTACAGTGCGACTGAAACTTCGTGGCCCAGGCGCAGAAGTCGGTATTTTGTGGAAGAGCCACACTCAAGGGGCCAAAGAGCTGCATGTGGCTCATGAGCCGCAGTTTGCCGATCACTGCCCTAGCCTGTTTGGCTCAGTGGATAGAGTGTCAGCCTGCAGACCAAAGGGTCCCCGGTTTGATTCCTGGCAAGGGCACGTATCTCAGTTGCAGGCTCCTCTCGGCCTGGTCAGGGCTCGTGCAGGAGGCAACCAATCAATGTTATTTCTCTCACATTGATATTTCTGTCCTTCCCTCTCTCTTCCATTCTAAAAATCAATGGAAAAATATCACTGGGTGAGGATTTAAAAAAACACCAAAAACCTTGGAGGAGAAAATTAAGACCAAAGGGGGGAAAAAAAAAGAACAGGGAGAGAGAGAAAAAAATATTTAAAGTATTGCTCCAGAGGAACAGTCCTATAGCTTGGACTTAATTTTCACTAGAACAGAGGACCCATGAAGGTATATATCCAAAAGGAAAGATTTTTTTAAAAGCAGAGCATATGCCATCCATATAGCAGGATCAATTCCCAGTTATAGCACCAGAGGTGTTCAACCCTGACCACCAAACACTGCATCTCCAAAGCAATGTTACCTATGACTCAACAACGGTCTTATTCTACTTTCATATCTTAGCTCTCACATCTATGCTTCAATTTACTGCATTGTCTTTAGATTAATTGTTCAACATCATTCTAGAACACTTACTGATCTTCATATTTATTCATGTTTAAATGCTTAACAGAAAGTCAAAGATTGAGCAGAGGCTTATGGTTTGAAGTTCATGGCATTTGTAGGGGAAACATAAAAGTTATTTGATAGGGACTCTGCAAGGTTAACTTGGATACATGTGAAACAAGATTCTATTTATGAAAGATACTTCAGAGAGTAAATGAAGTAATGATTCGCATGTGTTCGGAGAGTCACAAGGAACAACAAGATGTAGTAGGCTAGAAAGGGCTAGACTAGTTCCTGACAGAATATTAATTTAACTGTGTTTTGTAATCATGAGTCAGTCTAAGTTTACCATGACAGACTAGTAGCAATATAACTTTGTAGCATTACACAACTACTGTGAGGATTTAAATTAAAAATTAGCTTTTAACACTGATAAAGAAGGAATTTAGATCAGTGGATCTATCCTATAGGGTGGTAAAATATGGTACCAAAATATAAATAAAGGTGCTGGAAACATCAATTTTAGGAGTTCACAGCCTAAAAAAACAAGGCTTTGGTCTAGAAAAGTTAAGCCCTGGCAGAAGTTACTTCACAGGGCAGAAGATAGAGTGTGTCTTTTGTTAACTGAAACTGAATCTTTCAAAAAATATCTAGTGAACAAACTAACATATGCCAGGCATGCTTCTGCACATGAATGCACAAGTCAGAAAATACATGAAAAATATTTAAGGAAGAAAGTGAGATTATTTGTTTGTTTTATTTTTTTATCTTAGTGTTATTTTAGGAAGCATAATCAGTACTTTGGGTAAAAGACAAACACCATCTACATGGAAGTATCATCTTTGAAATAATAAAACTGATGAAAGGCATAGTGATTTATAATCTAGTTTCAGAGTTTAAAGAGAGAATAGGAAGTTAAAATTGGTGCAGAAACTAACGAAGGCATTTGTGTTAATAAAAGGGGGGAAATGGCATTTGAAAAAAAAATATAAGCCAGAGTCATAAACACTTTAGGATCAATTATAGCTGCATACTTTGATGACAGAAGTAATTGAATTCTAGAAAAAAAAGTTTAAGTCAAGGTTAGTGTATAGGAAAGATAGGTAAATGTATAAAAATGTTGAACGAAATGGGGAATTTCAGTGGAGAGAATGAAAATTGGAGGTGTGATTTATGTTGCTTACATATGCTGATCAAGCATCCTCATTCATTTCCAGACATCTAGGGCACTTAAAAAATATTCCAGAAAAACATTTCAAAAGGCAAAAGGCACCAACAACCTCACAACTAATCACCAGGGCTCTGACTTCTCACTCACCAGTGTAGTTCTGATGTGGAAACTCTACTTCTAATATCCATGGCTCCTTTCCTTGCTTCAACTTCAAAACTGCATTTGACTTATTCACAAAATAACCTATTAATGGAAAAGATAAAGAAAACAGAACTTGCTTGGAATTTAGGGACTCTGAAGAACCGAAAGTAGTTTTCAGAGCAGAACAATGAAGGTCCTCCTAGGCTTGGTAACTTGAGATTTTTTTCAATTGGGAGGGTGGAGACACAATATTTTTTCTGGTACCCAAAATGGATTCCTGAAAAAAATTAGTATTACTCAAACCTAAAGATACCTTACATGTTCCACAACTGGGAAAGAAAATGCAAACTACTAGAAGTCACTGAGGGGGGTTTTTCTCACCCACTGAGACGAGGTGACGGTAGTTCTCCCGCATCACTTCCTTGTACAGGGCCCTCTGAGCTTCGTCCAGTAATTGCCACTCCTCCTTGGTGAATTCCACAATGACATCCTTGAACGTTACTGATCCCTGTAACAACATATTTCAGTTCTATTCTGCAGTTATCAGAATAGAGTAGCATTGAAAAGACATGTAAACTAGCTCTTAATGTGCTAACTGTAGAATTTGCCCTGGAAAGTTAAGATACACTGCTACTCTGTACCCTGCTTTACACACAAAGTACTTATTCAATATATATTTACTGCGATATCATTGGAAGTCTGGATCTCTGCTGGGGATACAACAATGGATGAAAATAACTATTTCTGTTATCAAGGAGCTTACATTCTGGCAGGGAGGCAAAGATGTAAATAATTCTTTTTTTTTTAAACCCTCACCCAAGGACACTTTTCCATTGATATTCAGAGAGAGGGAAAGACTGAGAGAAATATCAATGTGAGAGAGAGACACATCAATAGGTTGCGTCCTGCATGAGCCCCGACCAGGGCCCGGACCAGGGAAAAGCCTGCAACCAAGGTACGTGCCCTTGATCAGAATCGAACCCAGGACCCTTCGGTACGCAGGCCAACGCTCTATCCTCTGAGCCACCTGGCTAGGGCAAGATGTAAATTCTTAACATGCAATATGCACAGCAGGTGCTATGACAGAAGAGAATACAAGATGTAAGATGGTCGCAAATAGGGATAGTCGTTTTGTATTTTGTATTATTAAGTTAGGTTTTATTAGGTGGTTCAAGTGACTATGCAAACTTCAGGAATGAAAAAACCGAACTGGCAAAGGTGCAGATGCATCAAAAATGGCAAATTTAGGAAACTACAAATAAGAAAGTATAATATGAGAACATGGTGTAGGACCAAAATTAGTTATGTGATAGTCAAGTCAGGTTACAAAACATGGAGTAATTCTGAATTTGACTTTTGGGACATTAAGTGGGTATTTTGCATACCCACTTAATGTCTTATAAATCATATATTTACATCTATTAGTTGTTTACTAAAGTTGAGAAGTTTTCTTTTTTGTATTTATATGGAAGAAAAGTATTGCCCTACCGGATTTGGCTCAGTGGATAGAGCCTCGGCCTGTGGTCTGAAGAGTCCTGGGTTTGATTCCGGTCAAGGGCATATGCCCAGATTGTGGGCTCCACTCCCAGTTTGGGTTGTGCAAGAGGCAGCTGATCAATGATTCTCTCTCATCACTGATGTTCCTAACTCTCTCTTCCTCTCCCTTCCCCTCTGAAATCAATAAAACATATCTAAAAAATAAAAAAATTAAAGCATGTGCAATTAAAAAATATGAATTAATATTCTACTATTTCATACTATGTGGACTGTCTTATACATTTTTGGAATGTTCACTCTTTTGCTTTGTAGATGAAAATACAGATAATGGGGAACCACTGAAGAGAGAGATGTAACCAGTAGAGTTATATGAGATTAGTAGTTTAGAATAAAACTAAAATAGAAGAGGCAAATGGCACATCAGAAAGATGGAGTGTTAGAAAATTTAGAGACACATGTAAGCAATAAACATTTATATTCAAGTAGCAGCACTGGGGGAAAGAAGCATAATGCATCTTTGTGATTAATTGGAAATTAATAACTCCTGGGAGAGAGTGGGAGGGTAACTCATAGTGTCTATATGGTTTGGTAATGGCTAGAGCCATAGTGCTAATTATTTTCATTCTTGGGTTTTTACGGATAGAACTATTTAAGGCTATACTACTTCCTCTGATAATTGCTTTATTTATATTCTAAATATTTGGAATCTGAAATGTAGTAATTTTTAAAATATATTTTAATTGAGTTCAGAGAGGAAATGAGTGGGAGAGATAGAAATACCAATGGTGAGAAAGAATCATTGATTGGCTGCCTCCTGCACACCTCCAGTGGGATCAAGCCTGCAACCTGGGGCAGGTGCCTTGACCAGGAATTGAACCATGACCTCCTGCTTCATAGGTCAACACTCAACCACTGAGCCATGCCAGTTGGGCTAAATATTTTTTAAAGAACTAATACATAAAATAAAAACTCAATGTTTTCTACAAACTTATAACGTCCTACATATTCTAGCTCCTTTTACCTCTTTGATTTTACCTCTTACCTTGCTTCCCCTAAGTCACTTCTCTCTATGTCCCCATTATCTGCTTCAATGTCCCAAATACTGTTTCTGAAACATGCTTCGGGGCATTTGTACTTGCTATTGCTCCTATTTAGAATGCTCTTCTGCCATATTTCTTCTTGGCTCCCTGGCTTATTTAATTCAGAACATTCCTCAAATATTACCTTTTAGAGTGGGCATTCCCTAACCAACTTACTCCCTGGTCCTCACTTCACTGCACCCTCTGTCCTCTTAAACTGCTTGAGTTTGCCTCTGAGCTCAAGTCAGAAATACCAATCAAATGTTGAATGATATAATCAATCATTATATAATACTAGTGGCTCGGTGCATGGAATTCGTGCACATTAAAGGGGAATTAATTAGAGGAGATGTTTTATTTATTTATTTTATTTTTTTAAAGCATTTTTAAAATTATTTTATTTTTATTGATTTCAGAGAGGAAGGGAGAGGGAGAGAGAGAGATAGAAACATCAATGATGAGAGAGAATCATTGATTGGCTGCCTCCCGCACATCCTCTACTGGGGATCAAGCCTGCAACCCATGCACGTGATCTTGACTGAATCGAACCTGGGACGCTTCAGTCCATAGGCCGGATGTTTTATTTATTTATTTTATTTTTTTAAAGCATTTTTAAAATTATTTTATTTTTATTGATTTCAGAGAGGAAGGGAGAGGGAGAGAGAGAGATAGAAACATCAATGATGAGAGAGAATCATTGATTGGCTGCCTCCTGCACATCGCCTAAGAGATGAAAGAAAATTAGTAAAATGTATATAAAAAATCTCCTTCCTGTCAGAGTCTGGGGTACGCCGCGGGACCCAGAGTCAAGTCCCTGCCTCTACGTGCACCCTGAAATTGCACGAGACCCAGACCCGGCTGGCCCCACCCCTATCAAGCCATGCAGGGTGGGGGGCACAGCCTCATGTCCCCCGGCCCCGGTACTGGGGGCGGGGCGTGGCCTCAGGTCCCCCAGCCCTAATGCGAGGGCATGAGAGCATGAGGGTGTGATGACCATTTGCATATTAGATGGGGCACAGCCTCATGTCCCCCAGCCCCGGTACTGGGGCGGGGGGCGTGGCCTCAGGTCCCCCAGCCCTGGTGCGAGGGCATGAGAGCATGAGAGCGTGATGATCATTTGCATATTAGCTCTTTATTATTAGGATACATTATTATATTACTAGAGGCCCAGCGTGCACGTGGCTCGCTTCCACTTGCTTCAGCTGGCCGCCCTGCCCATCACAGCTCATAGCTCGCGCCCCGCCCTCCGCAGCTCCTAGCTCTTTGCCACTCATAGCTCTCCACTGCTAGTAGCTCATTGCCCTGCCCATCGCTGCTCATAGCTCGCACCCTGCCCTCCGCAGCTCCTAGCTCTAGGCCACTCGTAGCTCTCCGCTGCTAGTAGCTCACGCCCTGCCCTCCACCACTCATAGCTCTCTGCCGCTCATAGCTCACTGCCACTAGTAGCTCGCTCCTCACCCTGCCCCCCACAACAGCAGCAGCTCATGGCCTGGCCGCCTCCCCAACAATGTCCTTTAGATCAGAACCCTCGAGTGTGGTGGGCACAGGGGCAGGTCTCAGCCTATCCTCTGTGCCCCTGCCTGGCCCCTCCCACTGTGGCCCAGGTCCCCTGTCGGCTGGCAGCAGGTGTGAGCAGGGGGAGGTGGAGAAGCCTTGAGGGGTGAACAAGGCGTGAACAAGGCCGGCTGGCAGCCTCCCCACCCTGCCCCCTCAGTGCCTGGGAGGGGTGGCCCTGCCCCCACCACTGCCGGTTGCTGTCTTTGGGGGATTGGGGCTGGGCCAGCACTGGCAGTGGGTGTGAGTGCCAGGCAGGACCACAGCATGCCAGGCCAATGAACGCCATGTTCCTAGCATGCCACCTGGTGGTCAGTGTCCGTCATAGTGAGCAGTAAAATTCCCGGTTGAGCGCCTGCCTAATGGGACAATTTGTATTAGGCTTTTATATATATTTTTATATTATGTTGTATATAATATAAATGTATAATATCACATTTGTTAGTATCCTCACCAATCTCATCAGAAAAGTACTTAAGTATTAGAAGTTGTCAAGTTCATAGTGAAGGATACAAGTTTTCCAAAATTCTCATTTTCACTTAAAGCTTGAATTTTAACCTTGGGAACACATAGAGACAGTTATTTTCAGTGACAGGCTCACTTCATTCACTTTTGAGAAAATATTTGTTAAATACCCGTCTGAATAACCAGCCTGCCTGTCATTTGTTCTTCCAAGGAAAAACAGCATTCCATGAAAAAGTGGCTAGATGAGCTCACAAATCCAACAGCCCCACAATGCTTTATTCCCCTCAAGACCACAACCATCATAGTTCAGGCGCAGCAGAAGTATTTTATGTGAACTTCCTATTTCATCACACTGAATGCTAAAAAGACGTGTACCCAAGGGTCAAAATTTAATAAAACTGATTTTTACTATTTCATCAAAGATATCCTTAAGTAAAGGGGAGAACACTGCAGAGGAATGCAATGGCATTGGTGTCACTGTCCTAATTCATGCCAACCAGACTGCAATCTCTTCACCACTGGTGCAAATGTCAACAGTGTAAATTGGGTTTTACATCTTAATAATACATGCTGACCTCACAGATCTCTTGAAAAGGTCTTGGAAACTGCTGTGCTAGTCAAACAGTGTTTTCCCTAAAGGTGATTTTTAACTATTTAACTTTTAAATTTAATAAAAGGGCCCTATTTCATAAGACTCATTGAACACCCACACAGTGAAACAAAGTAAGGGCTAAGTAAATGACTCACCTGGAATTTGCTCATTTTCGGCTGCTTTGGGGAAAGAATAGAAACTATGCAGCCAGAACAAGGAACGTTGTAAGACAGAAGTCATGAGACTTGATCTTGCAGCTCCAGGAATCACCTGTCAGAGTTTCCAGACAACAGTTTAGTAAAAGGAAAACATTCCTTGGAAACATGAGAAGAAATAGGAAGGGCCGTGAATCTGTCCCCTGGTGACTCTGAAATCAATCTTGATAACCTTCGGACATTTTTGAGTGAATTTAAACATTTCTTTCCTAGTGACTGTTTTGAAAATTATGTGTCTATTTATTAAATACCACAAAAGAACTGAAAGCATAAACATCCAATAATAGATTAGCTAAGCAAGGTGCGTAATATATATCCAAAGTATGGATCCCTGTATTGGTGTTACAAATGATGATGAAGATAAATATTTATTGATATGGAAAGTGTTTAAATTACAGGTCATGACAATTTTTCCTATTACTACTTTAAGCCCCACAAGTTTAGAAAGCCTTCAAAAGCTCTCAAAAATAAGATGTTTCTTCTCCCTAAATTGCAGTTTCTCAAAAATCACTTCTCCAAGAATCTGTGTTGACTTCATTATAGTGGATCTGGAGTCTTATGGGCCATGCGAGGCTCTGCTATGAACAACCTAGAGACTGTCTTATTTTCAATGCTATTATCTTTAACATGAAGAAGAATTAGATAATGTTGAACAACCTTCATGTACTGTTCTGATTCTGTAAGTCTTGACCCAGTGCCACAAATCCAGACAGCACCATGGAATTCACCGTCCCCTCCAAACTTGGGCTGGGCCTGAGGTAAATTTAATTAGGCCTTAACGAATTCTGACATGGCCATCTAAAGTGTTGACAATGACACACATCTAACTTCTAAAATAACAATTTGGTACCGTCATCCCCAAAGAGGCACTTTGCATAGGCAGCGAAAGGTAACTAGACGCCTCAGGCTGAGATCTTTCCCATGTGCAGCAGGAACCCCTTCCCACTGGCCTGGTGCTTGCAGTGGTTCTCAATCTTCCTGATGCCGCGACCCTTTAATACAGTTCCTCATGTTGTGGTGACCCCCAACCATAAAATAATTTTCGTTGCTACTTCATAACTGTAATTTTGCTACTGTTATGAATCGTCATGTAAATATCTGATATGCAGGATGTATTTTCAGGGGTCGCAACCCACAGGTTGAGAACCGCTGCAAGAGGATGCTCCATGAGCCAGACACACCAGGCAATGACAGGCCTATGACATCACTTCCATAGCACGGAGCCTGGATGAAACCGCAGTTTTCATTTTGTAACGATGTCTGCCTCCCTTCCCCTCCTGACTGCAGCTTCTCCCATAAAACTTAAAAGTCGGCGCTTCCGTTATGGTTTCAACGTACATGTTTACCAGTTTTGTGCGAATAGGGACAGGTAGGAGAACGCAGCTACAGCATTTCCGCACAAGAATTCTGAGGAAGCCCCCACAAGTACTGGAAATAGAACACTAGGAGGTAGGGTTAGGTTGTCCTAAGCCACCGCCCGCTAATGATGTGCTGGGACAACTGCTGTGCTCAATGCAAATGTTAGTGCGGGAATCAGCAGGAGCCACAGAGTAAAACAAAGGAGAGTGTAAAGCCGCCAGCCAACGCCGGGTAAACAATGGCTCTCTCTGAACCGTTACCGCTCGGATTTATTGAAGTGGAGGTGATGGATACGGATGGGAAGGATGGTTATGAGAATTAAGAGAACCAGATGAGCCAACAATGAAAAGAACAGCGCGCCCTGTGATAACAAAGCAGCCCGTCTGTCCGGGTCACCGCGCTCCAAGTACTGCACCCTCTTCAACACAGGAAACGGCCCGAAAGGCTGGTGCCCTCAGTTCACAGACGCGCATCTGAACCGTCCGGGGATGAACTTGCCCGTGGACCGCGGGCGCTGGGCTGCGGCCCGGGCCGCGATGGCTCTGCGG